AGAATGGGAAATGACCACTAATGGGTACAAGGTTTCTTCTGGGGTGATGATACAGTCTTAAAACAAGAGAGTGGTGGTGATTGTACAACACTGTGAATGTACTAAATGCCACTGAATTGTATACCGTAAAATGGTTACTTTTATATTATATGAATTTCACCTCAACACACACACACACACACACACACACACACACACACACACACACACAGAGGCATGCATAGTTAATCTTTATAGGTCGGGTTTTTGTTCCTTTGAAAATTCCTTACTTTTAGTCAAGTTCCTTACTTTTAGTCAGGAAAATTTATGAAAATCAAGAATCTTGAAAAAGAATAAGATTTGCCAGTGGAGACACCTGATTAAAATGAAAATATTGATGTTGAAGAAAATATCAATCAGTATCAGCTGGGTTGTCATAGCTATTTATACCCTCCCGCTATGGATCCACAGATCTCTCAACTTTTAAAGAGTCAAGCAAGTGATTGTCACTCTAAACAAGGCCATATTTCATATTCTTTCAGTTTTATCTCTTGTGAATAAACTTAATTGAACTATGCAGGAAAAGACACCCAATACAGATGGGTAGAGTCTCTGCTTTGACACCTCTGAGGGGAGCTCTCTCTGGACCGCTGAGAAAAAAGGGATGGCTGATTTTCTCCCTTATTTTTCTCCTCATTGAGTTGTAAACCCCTCAGGAGGGGCAGGCACTGGCTTCTAATACCTATCATTGATGCCCCACAGGGCCTAGTACATACTAAGTGCTCAATTTCTGCTGAAGGAACCTGAATGATCAGATGTTAAATGGAAAAAACAGCATTTTTTCCTAAGATTTCTGAACATGTATAGGTTCAAATAATTTCTTGCATGCTAATTTACAATAAGTGATTAAATAATAAAATGGGACTTACATAGTATCAAGCCGTTTAAAAGAAGAATGAAAATTTCAGCCAGATAGTTGGCCTAACAGTTCTAAAAAGGTGCTTGAGAATGTATTTGCTAAATTATTGACTCTTCATACGGGTATTTTCAGCATCACTGCAGGCAAAGCCTACATTTAGCTGTTTTTAAGCCCCGTGTTAGCTTACGTCTGTGGGCACCTTTGTATTTATCTTGGTCTCACGGATTCTCTAATTGAAATTCTCTGTGGTTCTACAAAGGCAGAAGATGGAGGATTTTCTGCCTTTGGCAATGGTAGGAGGTTTCTGCCTGTAGGATACATGCTGGCTCTCATGATGGAGTATACCTCACATGAGTCAAGCTTGCTAATTTGAAGACGTCTTTGTGAAATCCTGGAAGCCAATATTTATTTCCAGCCAAGATGGGGAGGAGGTGGAGGGAGGAGGAGGTGAGAAGACAAATGATGCTTATGTGATACTCCCTGAGACTAGATTTGTGAAAACGTTCTTTTCCTGCATAGTTTGATTAATTTTATTCAGAAGAGATAAAAACTGAAAGGATGTGAGATATGGCTCTGTTTAGAGAGACGTTGTCTTTTTAAAAGTTGAGAAACAGGTAGATCCACAGTGGGAGGGTATAAATAGTTATGACAACCCAGCTGATATGGATTTTCAACATCAATATTTTCATTTTAATCATATGTCTCCACTGAGAAGTCTTATTTTTTTTCAGGATCCTTGATTTTCATTAATTTTCTTGATTAAAAGTAAAATATTTTCAAGGGAACACAAACCCAACCTATAAAGATAACAAAGTCACAACCCATTTGACAATATGAAGTGGCAACTGTTACTTAAGACTAAATGAGAAAATCAATGAAAAGCCTCAGAGAGGGGATGTAAATATAGATGATACATGCAGCACAAAGCTACTCTTTATAAATGGGCACACATATGCTCAGGCTACAGAACTTCATTTTATTAAATGTATATTCCTGAGTAATTTGGTAAAACCTAGTTTAAGACTATTTCCTGCTCCCATCATTGCATTGCATGCTATGCATGCCAAGTTGCTTCAGCTGTGTCTGACTCTGTGCGACCCCATAGACAGCAGCCCACCAGGCTCCTCTGTCCCTGGGATTCTCCAGGCAAGAACACTGGAGTGGGTTGCCATTTTCCTCTCCAATCATTGCATTAGGTCAGTGATTAAAGTACAGGTTAATGATAAGCCAAGGTTGCCAACCATGGAAGAAGCACTTCCTGGATTACATTACCCGTATTCTGTCTACAAATAACATTTGACTTCCTTCCTTCCTCCCACCTTCTTTTTCTTCCTTCCTTCATTTTCTGCATCATATATATTAACAATAAAAGTTGCTTTGAAAAAAATAGGTTTTGCAGAAGTAACAAATAAGAGCTTGAAATAATGGCTTTCCTCCATACTATGATATTTATTATTTTGTTCAATATCCTAAGATATTAAAAGCTGACAAATTAAACAGAAAAGTTTTTTTTTTAGCAGAGCTATTTTAATGGTGCAAAAAGTGCCCTTGGTTAACTTCTGGACTCATTCAAAGTTAGCAGACTTTGGATTCTACCATTTGATAGAAAAGGATTTTCTCAGTTTCAGGACAACATCCTTCATGAAAATATACCGAATATGAATATTTATATGAGTAAAATTCAATTTTAAAAAATCCCACTAATTCAAAAAACATAGGACTGCCTAAGAAGAAACTCTTTTGAATTAACTAAAACTGGATCATCTGATATATCAGAAGATATATCCAGTGCGGTGACAACATTTGCTCTAAATGATCACAACAAGGAGGAAACAAATATTAGTGCTTGATACATAGTAGGTACTCAAATATTTGTTAAATGAGTAAATAAATAAATGAATGAATGATTACAGTAGTAAATAAGTATAAACTAAAATTTGCTTTTTAATTAAAAAAACCATGGTTATGCTGCTCTAAACAAATGAAAAATTGTTCATGTTTCACCATCTTAATATACCAGTGGGTAAGTTATTGGGATGGTTTCTCATCAAGTTTATGCAAGAACCACATACTGAACCTGTGGGAATTTTCTTTCTGAAATATGATGTCATTTATATCTGTTTTAACGGAGAAGGAAATGGCAACCCACTCCAGTATTCTTGCCTGGAGAATTCCATGGACAAAGGAGCCTGCAGGCTACAGTCCATGGGGTTGCACAGAGTCAGACACAACTAAGCGACTAAACAGCATACCTGTTTTAAAGCATCTGCTTTATATTTATTTTTCAAATTTATTTTTTAATATAAATGTATTTATTTTAATTGGAGGCTAATTACTTTACAATATTGTAGTGGTTTTGCCATGCATTGACATGAATCTACCACAGGTGCATCTGCTTTTTATAAAGCCAAATACCAACTGCTTCTCTTTGATAATTTAAATGAATATGTCACAACAGTTGGATACATTTTCATGATTCTACTCAGTACCTGATAGAACTTTTAGGGTGATAAATATACATCCCATTCTCATTGTTCCAGGTCAGTCCAAAGCTTAGTTGAGAAACAAGCTGTTTTCAGGCCTATGTTCTACTTTGCCCTGGGAAGAGGAGGGGTGGTGGGGGAAGGTAGAAAGAAAAGAACTAATACAAACTGAGCTTCCGGTATGTGCTTGCCTTCTAGGGGCTTTACCTCACCTGTTAGTTACAACAATAGTGGGAGATGCCCCTTCCTTACAGAAGAGGATCTTGACACTTTCTAGGTGAAGTGACTCACCCAAGGCCACACAGAGTCAGTAGCAGAGCTGAGATGAAAACCCAAGTTCATCTGGCTCCAAAGCGTTCCTCTGTCCATGGCATTACACCACTAATTAATTCCATTTAGCATCATGATTAATTATCCTATGTCTGGATATTGGATTCTGCTAGAATGTAAAGGTCCTCAAAGCAAGTAACTTGCCCGTCATCTTGTTCCTCTTCATACCCCTAGCACCTACCTCAATGCCTAATGCATAGTATCTCAAAACATAATCATAAACATAAATCTCAAAACATAAATGTCGAAGGTATGGATGAATGAATGGATAAGGAAATAAAACACACAGACTGTCGGAACTAGTGGTGCTTTAATCCGACCACCTCAGTTCTTGCCTCAAGTCACTTGCCTTGGGTTAAACAACTGGTCAGTGAAAGATTCAGAACTTGCATCCAGGTCTCTTCTGTACTCCCCTCTACAATATGCTATCCCTTGCACAAAATTTTTGAAAGCATGTTCATCAATGCCATTATGGAGTTTCCTAAGCATTTCACCCTCTTGATTTAATTCTTTAATTGCAAGCCATTTTTTACACATACAAAGCAAAGGCGGTCAGGAATATCACTAGCCCACTAGAATGAAGGCTCCTTGAGGATAGGAAAATTTGCCTGTTCTGTTTACTTCTATGTGAGAGGCACTTAGAAAATGCTCAGTAAATATTTGCTGAAAAAGAATATATACTATTTCCTTTCCAACGATAAGCAAATTCTTCAGAGATGACAAATGTTAGTACAGATAATACTAAGAAACACTTAAAGAATCAAACATTTCAATAAAAATGATGTGAAACGGTACTTCTCCTTCCCTCCCCTTTCTTCTATTCTCCATCTTCATCTATAACACAGGGGGAAATAATGCAATTTCATAGGATTGACATAAGGATAAAGAGAGTTAACACATAGAAGCACTTAGCATGGTGCTCGATATATAGTTAATTCTCATAAATAACAACCATTAGTACAAACATGATTTCTTTAAATCAATCAATAAGGGCCCACATAATGAGAAGGTGGAATAAGCCAAAGACCCATGGAAAAAAGACTTGCCTTATGCTTACAATTTGTAAAATGTTCCTGAATCCATAGTTATCTGTGTGCTTCAAAGTTTGTAAGTCCTATGAGGGCTGTAAGTCACAGACAGCATGTGCCATGTCACAGATGTTCATGTGTATGCTTCTTTCTATTATTTTTCTCATGAAATTAATGGAGAGAAGACATAACTAAGCCTGATATGAGCACATGATGAGTATTTCTCATATACTGCTATATGTAACATTCAAAAAAGATTACCTCTCCACGAGTTCTTGTCCATTCCAGCAAAGAGTGTCATTTTCAGCCACAGGGCTATGGCTGCAGATGTAGCCAGGCAAAGCACTATAGAAGCTGATGAAAGATTTTAACTTCTGAATTAGTTCCCTGAAAGAAAAACAAAACATCTGTGCATAAGACGCAAGTAAACCCAGTATGAGGAAAGTTTAATTTCCTTATCAGCATGACAGAAAGGCTCTGCCAGGCTGATTAGAGCAATAAATGATTTTAAAAGACATTCTTGGCTACAAGGTCACAATTTAGGTTTTTTTTTAAATCAATAAAATGATATTAGAAAAAAAAGTTGCCTGCCATATAAGGTGCTATTCCTATCAGAAGGATGATTTAATTCTAACATCCATTTTCTAACACGTTCAGCTTCCATTTTTCATTCAGATGCTGTTACCTACATTCTCAAAGGTGCTGATTACAAGGCACATTGAAGCGCTACATATCTTTTGGCTTCTGAGTGTAATTGAGTGCATTGATTGTAATTTTCAATGCTATTACCCTAGAGATGGCCCCTTTCCATATAGACTCTGGCTATTAGTTGCAGATCAGAATCGCGGGGTGCTCAGAGCAGTATAAGCTCTATGAAATTCTCCTGACAATGTCATCAGAGAAACTCACATCTGCTAGAGGAGGAAGGTTTCTTTGTTCTTTGTTTGTATATTGTGGTTCCTATAAGGGGGTTGGGAGGGCTCCTAGGTGTATTTTATTATATATTTGCTCTGGCTTTCATGTTATAGGAGTGTGTGTGAGAGAGAGAAATGGAGAGAGAGAGAGAGAACATATTATATATGCAAATATGTATAAACACACACCCATAAATACCTTGCAAAATTTTTGGCCTATTATCTTATTTCAGATGTACATGAACATACAAAATAAGACACTATAGACTGGAGGGAAGTGTATATGCTTATAAAGAAATACTAAAATATCTATGCAATAGATGTCCAGTAGTAAACAAACCAAAATAAAATACTCTCTATTTTCTAAAGCAATATTTCTAGTATCAATAGAAAGGAAGTTAAAGAGTACTTCCTCTATATCCAAGTTTATCTTAAGTCTCCACTAAGTTTTTAGAGAGTCTCACCAGGGAATTTCCTGGCAGTGGAGTAATTATTCAATATTGTCTCCAGGCTAAGAATGGACTGACCTGATATATAGACCTCTGGAGGAGCCAGAGGCCTGAATCTCATTTAGACACTGGTGAGAGCCCAGAAATGCCTTCTGGGGGTTGTTCTCAGATTTGGCTAAAAGAGGAAGACTGGTGGAAAGTATTTTCTTGCATTTAATGCCATTTTCCATTTTATTACCATAAGACGACTCATTTCAACTAATGATTCAGAGGAAGAGAGAGAATGTGTGCTTACAATACTTGGCACATCTTCAGAAAGGCTCGAGTCACAGTAAAGCCAGGGTGATGGACAGAACAACTGGGGAAGGGTTATTGAGACATATATAACTCCTGATCCCAACAGTTACTTCCTGTTATGCTCAAACTCTCTCATAGCCTACTCCTGGTGGCTGCACTTCGTCAATCTCCAAAGTGAAGAGGCTCAGTATAGGGCTCTGAACATAAAAGTCAACATTATAGTTTCTCACAGAGGAAAAAGATGGGTTCAATTAACGCTAATAGGGGAGATGCTCCGTTTTACAAGGTAATAATATGGTTCCCAAGAGTGGAAATTGAAAGACTAAAGGCTGAGGCCGAGTAATTCCCCTCCTTACATGAGGAAATGGAATATGGCTATTAGTCTATGAGAAGTGATGGCCCTCCCTTTAATGAAAGTTTCCCTTAGGCCTCTTCCTACCTCCAAATTCTCTCTCACTAACATAGCGCTGGCAAGAAAAATTGAACTCATAGCAAAGCCTTCCAATTTGACTTCTCTAGAAGTTAAAAAAAAAAAAAACCAGCATAACTCTGAACTGTTTCCAGCCTCCCAACTCTTGGAGTCTTTTTCTTGGCTGATCATAAAGATCATTGACATGCTGGAGCAGATTCAGGGAGGGTCTATCTAAGTGTTGAGGGGACGAAGGGCTGTGATAAACCTAAGACCTCCCACTTTAGTATGGAAAGATATTACTTGGTTGGGTCAAGATAAAAGTGTAAGAAAGCCACAATGAATGTAAATAATGTCTGGCTCATTAAAATTGTAGAACTTAGGGAATCTCTCTGACACTTGAACAAGGTAACCTGGGGAAATAAAAGATCATCTTACTTCACAGAGTACTCATTACCTCCGTAGAACATACACAATGGACCTAAGAGACTGTATTTTTAAAACTTGTTCCTGATTTAGTTATTTTGAATTTAGAACACAGTATCATCTAGGAGCTATGATATAGTGATGGTTGGGTTCTCAGGACAGCCCCTTAAAACCTATTAGGAGTAGTAGCTAAGAGCACTGATTTTGGAGTCTGACTCATGAGTTTCAAATGCCAATTATTCCCTCACTTACTTAGCAGGAAAACCTTACTAGACAGACTAAACTTCTCTGAGGCTTAGTTTCTTTATTTTAAAATGAAGCAAATGATAGTTTGCTGGGATGATTAAATGAGAAAATGCATGTAAAGTGTTTAGCACAGTACATGGCACAGAATAATACCCCACAATGTTAGCCATTTGGCAATTTATTTCCATTATTATGAGACTGTAGGATATAAATATATAATCTATATAAATATATATTATATTCCAGATAAACTTATGTATGCAAGATAATTAACCTTTTTCAAGTTCCAGATAACTTTATATGCACAAGATAAATAATATTTCACCTGTTAAAGTGGGTATTAAAAAGTACAACCATGTCCTCTCCCTAAATATTTTTCCTGTTACTCTTTTTCAGAGACTAGCTAGCTAGTGAACTGGGTAAATCACTGGACTAAACTGGTATAGCAGTTTGGATGGTCTTTACTTGGTAGGAAAGTGGTGGTGGCCTTCACAAGGATTCGTGTCTAAGAATCTGATGTTGAGTTTTAAAAGGTAGGTTAATCACCAGGTGGGATACCAAGGGGGGAAGGGATGGATTGGGAGATTAGGGTTGGCATATATACACTACTATGCATAAAATATGTAACTGATAAGAATCAACTATATAGCACAGGGAACTCTACTCAAGACTCTCTGTAATGGCCTATATAGGAAGAGACTCTAAAAATGAGGGTATGTATGTATATGTATAACTGATTCACTTTGCTATACAGCAGAAACTAGGAACAATGTAAAGCAGCTATATGCCAATTTAAAAAAAGAATTGAGATTCAAAAACAATTAAAAAAATTTTAAGATAAAAAGGTAGGTTAATCCTCAGGGAAATGTAAATCAAAACCACACTAAGATACCACTTCACTAGGATGACTATAATAAAAAAAAGACAGGAAGTGAAGAAACCGGAACTCCCACACATTGCTGGTGGGAATGCAAAATAGTGCAACCACTGTGGAAAATAGTTTGGTGGTTCTTCACAAAGTTATGCATAGACTTCCCACATGACCCAGCAATTCCACTACTGTAACAGGTATATACACAAAATAATTAAAAACAAGTATTCCTAATAAGTACATGTGCACACCTGCTCATAGCAGTACTATTAACAAGAGCAAAAGGCAGAACAAGACAGATGTGCATCAACTGATAAATGGATAAACAATTACATATTCTATATGATGGAATATTATTCAGTCTTAAAATGAAAAAAGTATTCCTACATTCTATAACAGATGTGTACCTTGAGAACATTATGCTAAGTGAAAGAAACCAGTCATGAAAGACCACATAATATATGATTCCATTAATGTGAAATGTCCAGAATAGGTAAATGTAGAGAGACATAAGGTAGATCAGTGGTTACTTTGGGCTGGGGCAGATGAGGGTTGGGGAACAATAGCTAAAAGGTATGGGATTTCTTCTGAAGGTGACGAAAATGTTCTAAAATTGATTGTGGTGAGGGATGTACAACTCTGTGAATATAGTAAAAACAGCTGAATTATATACTTTAAATGGATGACTTGTATGGTGTGTGGATTATATTTCAATAAAGCTGTTATTGAGATATAACTCCAAAAAAGCTACTAGGTGAAATATGTCTTGGAGAAAGAGAGGGCTTGTCTACAAGAGAGAGATACTCCTTGAAATAGTGGAAAGAGACAGTCAGGAGAGCTGGGAAAGAGCCAGTTTGGATGGACTCGAAAAAAAGATAAGGGTGAGGCGTGAGAAAAGAAATTTGTAAGAGCTGCAAAGAGTGGTTAAAATCTATTTTTTCCATCTTAGAAAATGAAGTCTGCTGCTTTTTTCTCATTATAAAAGAAATACATGTTCACTATTGAGAATTTATAGAATACAGAAATGCAGAAAGGAAAAAATTCTCTTATTTATAGTCCTACCAGCTAGAGATAATCACTGCTAATATTATAGAACATGGAAATGTAGAAGGGGGAAAAAATCTCTTATTTATAGTCCTACCAGCCAGAGATAATCACCGTTAATATTTGGATGTATTTCCTTTCTAGACTTTCCTCTCCAGAAAACTTTTACTTTTATTTCTCTAAAACCTATTCTTCTTGATAGGCTATCCACTGAGTTCTTTTTGGTTCTCAGTGTATATCACCCCCATTCGAGTCTGCAGAGAATCCAGGGTGGGTTTGGTATACAAAGAACATCAAAATAATGAAATAAATGCTTGTTCTCAAGTAACTCCAGGACCTGTGGGATGAGGCAGTAGCTGCTTGATAAGAACAAGGAGCAGGGCTCTAGCACATCTAGAAAACTGGCCAATACTTCTGAGTCCCCACAAACAGTGTTTCGGTGCAGGGCAGGCCTTCATGCAAAACCTTCCAAAAGACTGAGAAAATAAACCTTGGTTACCAAAGAAACTTTGATTTTTTAAAAGAAAGCCAGACGTTATATTTTTCAGGATAGAAGACTTTCTAAACTGATGGAGAGTTGATGACACCACAGCCCCCAAAGTTTACTGCCTGCTGGGTTTACTGGGCATCTATTTCTCCTCTTCTTTGTCACTCCTTCCTACACCTGTTCTGGCATGGGAACTAAGTATATTTTACTTTTACCTTTTCTTAAATAACTTTCTGTCTCCCTG